AAAGCACAACTGGTCATATGCTGGAAATAAGGCTGCAATCTGTTGAAGACTTGGTCATAAACTATTTTTAGCTCTTCCCTTTCATTAAGACAAGCACCCCCCGGAATGCAAGCAAAACCTCCCCCGTATGTCTTGTCTCTAAAAGAAGATACCTTGAAATTCTGTTTCTGTGGTGTCGGAGATATTTGGAGCTCCTATTTTCTACCTCCACAAATAGCTTTCCACCAATCCTTTCCTCAACATTATTGTAACATCCGCGTTTCTCCCAGTCCATATGTACTATAAGCTGCCTTGGGGTTGTCCTAGGGAGTTTTAACAATGGCAAACCCAAAGGCCTGTGTCCGTTTTCTCTTCCTTTCCCTTCTCACGTTTTTTTCTTTGTCTCTAGCATTAACTGATGGCGAGGTAGCATATATTGTGCGCCGCCAGCTTTTGACTCTCCCCGAGGATGGAGACCTTTCCGATGATATGTCATTTGAGGTCGATGTCAATATTGGGTTCGAGAATTCGAGGTTAAGACAAGCTTATATTGGCCTTCAGGCGTGGAAGAAAGCCGTCTATTCTGATCCGTTAAACTTTACGGCTAATTGGGATGGCCCTGACGTCTGTGCTTACACCGGTGTATTCTGTGCACCAGCGCTAGACGATCCCAAAACGATCGTGGTTGCTGGGGTTGATTTGAATCATGCCGACATTGCAGGACATCTCCCTGTTGAAATCGGGCTTTTGACTGATGTTAGCCTTATTCATTTGAATTCCAACAGGTTTTGTGGAATAATTCCAAAGAGCATCTCTAAACTAAAACTTCTTTACGAGCTCGACATTAGTAACAATCGCTTCGTTGGATCTTTCCCTAAGGTTGTCTTGGATTTACCAACTCTCAAATACCTCGATATAAGGTACAATGATTTTGAAGGGTCTTTGCCTCCGGAACTCTTCCACAACGACCTTGATGCTATTTTTGTTAACAACAACCGATTTCACTCCAACATCCCCGAAAGCTTTGGCAATTCCCCAGCTTCAGTAATTGTGATTGCCAACAACAAATTCACTGGATGCATTCCAACCAGCATTGGCAAAATGGGAAACACATTGGAGGAGGTTCTTTTCTCGAACAACATTTTCTCCGGTTGCATGCCTGAGGAAATTACACTATTGAATGGCACGATCATTATTGACGTAAGCAGCAACAAGTTAATTGGAGACCTGCCTGAAGGTCTGGAGTATCTGCAGCAAGTGGAAACCTTAGAAATTGCAAACAACATGTTCAGAGGGAATGTCCCTGAAACAGTTTGCAGCTTACCAAATTTGAAGAATTTCACGTTCTCTTCCAACTACTTTACAGCCAAGGATCCAATGTGCGAACCCAAGGCAGTGCAAGACCTTTTCGTGGATGACAAAAATAATTGTTTCCCAGGGAAGAACCAAAGATCGGAAAAGGCCTGCAAGGCTGCCTTGAGTCGGCCTGTGAATTGCACAGCTACAGGCTGCAGACCTTCAAACCCAGGCATTGGTTCAAAGCCCCCGCATGAACCTACTCCATCGCCAAAGCCTGTAGCTCCGCCAAGGAATAAGCCTGTCCCACCACAGGAGAAACATCCTTCCACCCCATCAGCACCAAAACCACAGCCACCAAAGCCAGAGACACCAAATATTTCGCCTTCTTCTCCACCCCCACCAAGTCCTAAACCGAAGTCTCCACAACAACCAAAGGCTTCTTCTCCACCTTCCACCACCAAACCCCCACCAGTTGCCTCATCCCCTCCACCTCCACAAATTTTGTCTCCTCCGCCTCCAAATCCAAAATCAAAGACTCCACAACAACCAAAGGCTTCTTCTCCAAACCCACCAAGTCCAAAACCAGCTCCTACACCAAAACCTTCTAACTCATCTCCTTCACCAGCACCTTCTAAGTCAGTAAAACAGAGTCCACCACCATCAAAGTCCACACCTTCGCCCCAAGCACCAGTTTCTTCATCACCTCCTCCTGTTCAATCACCGACTCCACCACCAGTTATCCACTCTCCAAGTCCCACACCTAAACCTTCTAAGCCAAATCACTCACCCGCACCTTCTCCCGAGCCAATGAAATCAACTCCACCACCACAGAAATCTACCCCATTACCCTCACCACTGGTTCAGTCGCCACCACCATCTGCAGTCCACTCACCGCCTCCACCAGTTTCCTCCCCACCACTTCCTGTCCTCTCACCCTCTCCACCAGTTTCTTCTCCACCACCTCAAGTCCACTCACCACCTCCACCTGTTTTCTCCCCACCACCACCAGTCCACTCACCCCCTCCACCAGTTTCCTCCCCACCACCTCCACCTGTTTTCTCCCCACCACCACCAGTCCACTCACCACCTCCACCTGTTTCCTCCCCACCACCACCACCAGTCCGCTCACCACCTCCACCTGTGTCCTCCCCCCCACCACCGGTGCACTCACCACCTCCACCAGTTTTCTTCCCACCACCACCAGCGCATTCACCCCCTCCACCAGTTTTCTCCGCACCACCACCAGTGCAATCTCAACCACCACCGACTCCAGTCTTGTCTCCACCACCTCCAGTGCAGTCACCGCCACCACCAACCACATTTGAAGACATCCCGCTCCCACCAAACTTGGGCTTCCAGTACGCATCCCCACCACCACCAATTTTCCCAGGCTATTAAAGTGAATATTGTTGTCATTTTTTTTTTTTTTTGGCTAGTATTTTTTATTCATCATTAGTATAGTGCAAAAAATGACAATGTAGAACCATTATACTTTGTAAATTTCATACTGCATTTGTTTATGAGCATAAAATAAAATTGATCTTGTGTATGTTAATATTAGCTTTATTAAAATTAGTA